GTATTCTGTTACAGCAGCAGAAAACAGACCAACACATCAGAGGCCAACACAATTTAAAACATTTTAAAAACACTTATTTGAGAGACACAAAGAAGACACAAAGAAGAACGAGCTACACTCAGAAACACAGAAACACGGCCATCAATATGAAAGAAGGTAAAGGAAGAAAACCTACCAGTAAAAGAGCATGGGAAGCTCAAAGCATATACTAGAAAATATCTCTGGGAAAATGGCAGGGCAAAGTCACTATGTATCAATAATCACATTAAACGTTAATGGAACTCAACTCTTCCGTTAAAATACACCAATTGGCTGATTGGCTTAAGGAACAAAACTCAACTATTTGTTGCCTACAAGAAACACATCTCTCTAACAAAGATGCAAGCCGACTGAAAGTGAAAGGTTGGAAAAAGATATTCCATGCCAACAGAAACCAAAAAAAAGCAGGTGTAGCCATATTAATATCAGATAAAATAAGCTTTAATACAAAAACTGTTAAGAGAGACAAAGAGGGGCACTACATCATGGTATTAATACTGATCTCTCTGGGGCACTAGGAGCGAGCAACAGTACATGTGCTCAAGCATTCTTTTCCACACCACTGGATGCACACAGCAGCTGTGATGGAGCCACCTGAACTTCTCCACAAAGTTTGTTTTTCCTTGTAGTCTAATACTTTCTGTTCTTTCCCTGAAGACTCAGGTTTTAAAAAGCTTTTTTGGGGGAATGGCATCTTGCATTCGTAGTTTTGATCATTATGACTAGAACATTTTTAAAGGCCTCCCCAATCTGCATCGTGTACAACAAAAAGGCTCTATAGTACTTCCATAATGGTTTGGAGCCCAGAGTCCTCAAATTGCTGAAGTTCAAAATCATGGTCTCAACAGTTATCAGCTGCTTTGATCTTAGATTCCTTTACCCTCAGTTTGCTCATTGCAAAATGGGATTGTTGATACAAATCTACACTTTTTTATCTGAAGTCCTTGCAGGCTGATGTTCTTCAGAATATTTCAGAATTTAAAACATAGTATTGTAGTACATAACCTATAGGTAATCTAATACAGCAATGGCTAAGTACCTAATAATAGAGAATATTAATATTCCAGCAATGATACATGAGTAGTTACATTATATGGGATAGATTAAAATTAGCTTCACATCACATTAAGTCCAGTCTTGTCATCCAGTGGGGTTGCACACCTCCAGCCCCACCTGATACACAATGTCTGACTTTCAGAGTGTTTTTGGAACTGTGGATTAGAGAGGTGGAAATATATATTTAATCATTTGAACTGTGCCTAGTGTATAGTATGGACAGGTATGAATGTTAGCTATGTCCAGAATAGAATTCTCCTTATACTTTGTGACTTTTGGATTGTCATTATTTAAAAGAATAATTAAATAAACACAGTTTATATCTAATTATCTGTGTGTAATTTTTCCTGTAACTGTGTCATTTGTTTTTTATAGCTATTCTTTTTTAAATTGTAGAAGAACAATAAAGAGAGGAAGGTGAAACAGAGTAGGTTCTATGTTCCTCTTAACTGCATCTTGTTGAGCCAACCAAGTGGCTCTCAAAGAACAACTTTTTAAAGAGAATGTCTGCATGCAGATTTAAAATTATTTCTACACTGTTTTCTTGTGCTGTTACTTGTCCTGTTTCTGCCTTGATTTGCCTCTAGTCTTAAGGGCACATTAAGAATGGAAAGTCACCCTGCCCTGATGTATCTTAATCTTTTGATCTACTTTGGTGCCAGTGGATCATTTCTGGAACATCTTATTGAATAGAATATTTGTAAAATTTAAGCAACTTGAGTGCTCCAAAGATTTTATCTTTCCATACCAAAGAAAGGAATAGTCTAAATTTAGAACTGTAGGGGAGATGTTTTCTGTGAACTCAACAGTGTTGGTTGGCCTCACAATCTAGTGATCTGGTACAGTTTAGCCTATGACTCCTTAAAATCTGTTGGAAATGGGTTGTAGCACATACTGAAGATAATTAGGTATCTTGGTTTTCATCTTTTTCACCTGGTACCTACATTTACCCAGTCCAAGCCTGACCAAAAGGATAATATGGAAATGTCTGAAAGAATAATGTATGCTTTTGAAAAGATAAACTATACAGTGGAGGTACTATGCAATGGTACATGCAATGAAGTAAAAATTTCCCAAAGGGAAATCTTACTGTCCTTGTGTATTCAAGAAATAAGACACATGGGGAAACATTACAAAATATGTATCTGGACTGTTCAGAAGAATAGTTTACTTTTACATTATTTTGTTGGTTTATATCTATTCTCTAAAGAACTATAAGTGTCACTTTTACCCAGAAGTCTATAATCCCATTGATTCTTAAAGAAGTGATTCTCTATAGAATGATAGCTGATTCCTGGTGTTTATATATTTCTTCTTCCATCTCACTATTCATCATTTATCTTTAGTCTGACGGTAATTACATGAGGACTTTGCTTAAGAAGAAGACAATGAAATCTGTTAAGACATACCAGTATGATAAATTAAAAAACATCTTGAAATTTTCAATCAAAACTGCCAAAAAAGATCACTTTGTTGAAATAAGCCTTGTTTCTTTTTATAAATTTATCTCCATTAATACTTTGTACTCATGATGTGGGATGTTATTTTTAAAGATGATTTTATGGTTTATTATGGTTAATGATTCCTTCTAGTCATTTTTCCTTTATTGTGTTTCATCTTTGAAGTAGACTTAGTCATTTAGTACATCTTATTTTCGGCAGTCTCATGATATTTTAAATCTTGTTGTTTACACCTGTAACAAGTCAGAATTGGGTCTAACAATCATGGGTGAGGCTGTTCTTCAAAATTCTACTCGAAAAACCAAGATTTCTTAAGTAGTCCTGTTCTCTATTTTAACGCTTAATACACATAGGTTAATTTTTCAATCATCAATTATAATAAACTTAGCTTTAAAATAAGACCATATTGAATTAGAACACTAGACTAACCTTCCTGATTGAGTGCGTACCTGTGTAGTAAGATACTGACTGCCTGGACAGAAAAGCAAAATAATGTGGTGTCTGTTTCTCTCACATGGACGCTGAAAAGTGGTGGACTGACATTCATCAGCGACTTTGTGTTTTGATGCTCACTTAGCTGTCTTCTTTATGGTCTATTGATTACTGTTGGGGCTGGCCCCGTGTCACACCCTGACTGGGACTAGAACCTGGTGTGCTGGCGCCGCAAGGTGCAGGATTAGCCTATAGAGCCATGGTGCCGGCGCTATTGGTTTTTGAGATGAAAGCAACAGTGCATGAAGAAAAGAAGGTGACTGGAGAAATGTGTAAGAATTTGGAAAAACAGATAGCAGTGGGTAAAAATGGGTATAATGGTTGAAAGCTCTTCGAGTCTGGTCTTGTTCATGGCTGAAAGCTCGACTGTGTTACCTAGTTCTGCGACTTTGAGCAAGTTATTTCCTTAACCTCAGTTTTCCTCATCTATAAAATGAGTACAGAAATAGGACCTAATTTATCTAATTTATCTAGTTGGAATTGGGATTAAATAGGTGACGTGGATGGTAAAATGCTTGCCATGGCTCAATAGGCTAATCCTCTGCCTGCAGCACCAGCACACTGGGTTCTAGTCCTGGTTGGAGCGCTGGATTCTGTCCTGGTTGCTCTTCTTCCAGATCTTTCTCTTGTCTGTCTCTCTCACTGTCCTCTGCCTGTCAAAAAAAATGCTTGCTAGTGTTTCACAAGTATTTTGTACTCTATACTGCCTACTTCTTGTCTGTAATCAGTTTATTCGACACTATCCCCAGTAGGGAGCAGTGTTTTCATTTCTTTTATCTGTCATCCAGGACAACCTGCTAGACCAGCCCCTGAAGCTGAAGTCAGGCTTAGAAGCTTGGGAATCTGGGAATGCTACAAGGATAGACAGTGGTGAGAACAATGCTAATTCTCAGGCTATTGAATAATTGACCATTTTGGCTGTTTTTTAAGGCTTTATTTATTTAAAAGGCAGAGTGATAGATTGGGGTAGTGGGGGGGGGAGTAGGTGATCTTCCATCCACTGGTTTACTCTCTCTATGACTTAGTTCTGTGTTCTGTCCTCCTGAAGCAACTTGAAGTAAGTCCCACTTCTCTCCCCAGCTCTTACTTATCAAGGTTGGCAAGTGAAGCCAAAGCAAGCTCAGCACCTCCACCTCACACAAGGAAAAGGTAGGCCCAAGGGGCACGCTTTGGAGGAGCATTGTTGCCCATGTGAGACTTGAGGCCAGATTCTAACATTTTCTGCTTCTCTGAATCTCTGAGGCATTTTCTCTTTCTGGGCACTTTTCCATTGTCTTAAAAAGAAAGAACTGCAGGGCCAGGATTCTAGTTTTATGGGTAGAATTTGATTTCAACAGAAAATTGTGAAAAATTACAATTTACTTTTAGTTACACTTCAAGTCAACTGGGATGTTCTGTTTAGAAGCGAGGCTCCAAGCCTTTTTAAAGAACAGTTTATACTTTCTTTTAAACAAATGGAGGTATTGCTGAAGGTACAGATTGAAGGCAGTTTGCCACATCAAAATAAATTAGTGCATGGTTTCCTTCTCTTAAATACACTCCTTCTTAAAGTGAGGGGATGGGAGAATGGGTCACAATTATAAAATTTTAGATTGTTGCATCTAGACCATTTGAAATCAAGGAGCACAGTGACTAGCCAGCATTTTAATTTGCCTAAAAGTAGACAGCTTTAAAAGCCCTGGAGGTAGCCTGTTTAGATCTCTTGCATGCTATTTCCTGAAAATTATTTTTTTTGGACAGGCAGAGTTGGACAGTGAGAGAGAGACACACACACAGAGTCTTCCTTCTGTTGGTTCATCCTGAAAATGTTGCTACAGCCAGTGCGCTGTGCCAATCTGAAGCCAGGAGCCAGGTGCCAGGTGCTTCCTCCTGGTCTCCCATGCAGGTGCCGGGCCCAAGCACTTGGGCCATCCTCCATTGCCTTCCCAGGCCACAGCAGAGAGCTGCACTGGAAGGGAAGTAACCGGGGACAGAATCCAGCACCCCAAGCAGGACTAGAACCTGGGGTACCAGCGCCGCAGGCAGAGGATTAGCCAAGTGAGCTTTGGTGCTGGCCAAGCATTAATACTTAAGCAATTCAGCATGAAATGAACTTCTGAATGGATCACCTTGGTTTGGTGTTCTCTGCCAGGTAGACTTGATTTCATACTGGTCAGAGACACTGGATGATTTTTAACATGATTGTCAGCTTTTACTCTTTATACACAAAACTGGACTTGGAGGAGTGAGGTACACTGCATCACTAAATAAATCTCTGCACATTCACACACCCTTGTCCAGTAAAGCTTCAGGCCACCAGAATATATGTTTTCACTCACACACACAGCCCCTCACATCAGCACTGGTGCAGTAGACTCTGTAAAATTTTTTCAGTCACACTTCTTATTTTTAAACTCGAGTCAATATAAACCTTGTTCAAAATGTTATGAAATAATGTACATGTTTATACAAGGCAGGCTGTGGCAGGACACTGAGGGTGCTCTCCCTCGAGACGCCCTGGGAGGAGGGGCTATAGGTGCAGGCATCCTTGTCTCTGTCTCCTCTCCTCTCCTTCCATCACCCTTCCCACCCCCATCCCCAGGAACCAGCAGCACCCTGCCCCGAGGTGAGTACATTCAAACCCGTTCCCTGGGGAAGTAGCTAGGTGACCTTTGCCATTTCCCCTACACCCCAGGAGGAAGGAGCCAAGAGCAGCCAGGCCCTCTCTCTTGCAATTGTTCACCCCTCTGGGCTGGATCCAAAGGATGCTACTCTGTACAAGTAGAGTCCAAGCAGGTGTCAGCTCATCATGTCATTGCTGTTCATGCCATACGTGGGGCTCTTCATTGAGTTGTTGACTTCTCAATGGAATGCCAACAGGTTTTGGGTGAATTTGTCTGTTTTTGTCAGGAGATTTCACTCAATGCCTTCCATTAGGTTTTCAAAGCACAAGTGCATAGCCTGCTGCTTCTCTGGTGGCTGGCTGTTCACGATACTGTTCCTTCAGTCAGAAAATACTTTTCATTTGGTAGTATCAATCCAAACAGAGGTCAGGACATAGGCCACTGGTTCTTACAGTCTTCAAAGAAGATGGTGTTCAGCAGCGTGACCAGCATCTGCTGGATCATCTTTGGATGCTGCTGCATGAAATGCAGAAAGCAATCATTCTCCTGGATCAGGGGGGTCATTCTCTTCATGGTGCTGCATGACAGCTGCTTGAAGAGGTATGTCATGATGTGGTTCAGGCAGGAGCAACAACCTGTGCACACCAGTGGTGTCAAGTGCAGTGAGTCCTTCAGAAATGGAAGAGATAATATACATGATGACATGAGGATCCAGGCTGGCAATGAAGTTCATATGGTCCTGGTTGAGGACTTTCAGTAGTGAATAGTAAGACTGGCTGAGCTTGGGGTAATCCAGGAGGTCTCTGTGCAAAATGGAGAGGAGCAGCTTGATGAAGATCTGCAGGGCATTGTCCAAGGCATCATTGTCATAGAGACAGAAGACCCTGAAGTTGACATAACTGCTGCTGAGGGGTGCCTTCAACACGAAGAAGCAGATGGAGATGACCTTCAGGTAGAGGGCATAGACCTGGTCCATGGAGACCTCACTCAGTGTCAGAATGTGATTGCCCTACATGGTTACCATCTTGCTAATTTCCCAGAAGAATAAGATGCCATTGGGAGGTAAGACATCAGACTGCAACTTGTGGGACCTGTTACGAATAAATTCTGCCATCACCTTGAGGGAAAGAACCCATGGAGCTTGCTCAGGTAACTGCCCTCCCATCCATGACCCATAAGACTTCCCAGGAACATTAGCTGAAGTGGATCAGAAGTAAATCAGCTGGGATTTAAATCAATGCTCCTATGTGGGATACAAGCAGTGACTTAACCCACTAAGCCACAATGTTTGCCTCCAAAGGTATTTAAATAAACTTGTTAAATAAAATCCTAGAGATACATCATGAGAAAATATTTAAAGCATAGATTTTAATTATTTTTACTACAAGTTTAACAGTTACTTTTGGTGCAGATAGTATCACAAATTGATATATTTTTTAATAATGTAAATATACATATATATTCTATACAACTTCTATTATTGAAATATCTAGTATTAAATATATAGCATGTTATTTGAATATCTAACCAAAAATGAACCACATAGAATCCAGATGAAAGATAAAATAGGCATATTAACCTTAGAAATCACACACATGCATATACACAAATATGTGTGTTATGAAATCATTTACATGTTTCATCTGATGCACCTTCCTGTAAATAATTAGTAATGTGAATAATATATTCCTTCTTTCTTGAGTACTTTCATAATTTAGTCTTCTTCAAGATGAGACTCAGTTCTAACAGATTAAATTGAAAAGCAGAATTGAATCTTAGAATTTCTGACTTTAATAAATCACAGCATATTTATCATCTACCAATTCATTTTAGAAAATGATATACCCAAACACATAGAGTCATATATTTCCTGACATTTTCTAAAGCATTTATTTTCAATGCCAAGATAAGAAACTATTTATCATAGATAAAATAAAAATTCTTCATCCAAAATCCAAACTGTAGAAAGCCGTACAACTTTGCCATTAATCTGTACAAATTTGCACCAGTTCTTTTTTTTTTTTTTGAGACAGGCAAAGTTAGACAGTGAGAGAGAGAGAGAGACAGAGAGAAAGGTCTTCCTTTTTGTTGGTTCACCCCCAAAGTGGCCGCAATGGCTGGCACATTGTGGCTGGTGCATTGCACCCATCTGAAGCCAGGAGCCAGGTGCTTCTCCTGGTCTCCCATGCAGGTGCAAGGCCCAAGGACCTGGGCCATCCTCCACTGCACTCCCAGGCCACAGCAGAGAGCTGGACTGGAAGAGGAGCAACTGGGACAGAATCCGGTGCCCCAACCAGGACTAGAACCCAGGGTGCCGGTGCCGCAGGTGGAGGATTAGCCCAGTGAGCCATGGTGCTGGCCACCAGTTCTTAATTTACCTAATAAAATGTGAATAACAAAATTAATGAAATAGATGGTAATTTGTGGAAAATACTGTTACATATTTAAGTCCAAGGGGAGTTACAAATCAGACCTCCACTTTCTAAAAGTTGCTTACTTAGTCTTAGAAAACTATAAACTAACAAATGTACAGAGAGCTGGCTGGTGCCTAGTGTCTTCGCAAGGGTCTATTTTTAAAGCCTGCTGCCATGGAAGAATTTGGTCACTTGCTAATTTAAAGGCAAAAAAAAAAACCTGCATTCAAGAACTGACCATTTCCTCAGGTCATGCCTACTAGTTTGTCTTTATGTACATTTATAGATATTTAAGTGCTAGCTAAAAGTCTTGTCATAAAATTTCCAGTACCATCATTTTAAAGATATTGATCTTTCTTATTGAGCTACAAAAATAATGATAATTTTCAAGTGTTAGTAGTGAAAACTTATCTGCAAGATATACTGCAGAGAAAGATTCATTGAAATACTGATTTTCATTAAAAGGGACTGATATAAAACTTTAGGTATAATGCCTGGGAGAAACTGAAACATAGGACTTTCACTCCCTAGGAAATAAAATGATAATTTACTTGGTCTCAGAGGCTACTAAGTCATTGAAAGGGACTGTACAAACCATGGCTTTTGACACTTAAAAATTATTTTACCATTCTATCTTGTGCAAGATCTTCACAGCCGTGACATTAAGTTCCATAATGTATCCTCAAGAGGAGCTCACACAAAACAAAAATCAAATTTATAAGACATCTTTCCATAGCCTATATCTTAGCCTGATAATCATTATATTGTAATTTTTGGGAGTTTTCTTTTTCTACTTAAGAGAACCCTCCTTTGAGTAGATTCTTCTGTCTACCATTTGCACCTTGGTGCTGTTCTGAGTGCTGTCTCCTGCTGGCGAGGCTTCCTACAGCACTCTGGTGGAACCATCCTGTCTGGCTCTGTAGGACACTTCATAGGGGATCAACCCAGAGTGCAAGTTAGTGTTCAGGGAGAAGCCTGAATAGCTCCTGACTGCTCAGTGCAATCAGATGGTCCAGTTTCTGGTTGAGGACCACAGGAATATGATGTAACATGATCCCTTGCACAGCTTCTCTGGGAGCCAGTGGAGTGTGTAATGCTCTGTCCATGTCTCCTGCAGGCTCTGACTGAAGGTCTGCAGCTATCACTTGCTCGTAAGCCTCTTGTTGAGGAACATGGAGATGATGGAGTTGGTGGTGGCAATCTCGCCTATCATGGGGGTGGCCCAGGTGTAAAAGGGATGCCTGGGGTTGCTCCCAGGTGGCTGGGACTTACCCTGGGCTCCCTCACAGGTGAGAGAGCTGAGAGGGAGTGAAGCACTGATGGCTACTGCCTCACCACTTCTTTGGAGTAAAAAAGTTATTTTCAAGAGAAGAGGTGATGGGAGAGAGGAAGAGAGGAGGGATGGTGGCTGGTTACAGTTCTGGGAGCCCCCCAGCCACCTTTGCCTCCAGCTCTTTAACCTTCAAAACCTCAACAGTGGTGTTTCCACCTCTGAGCAGGCAGAGCCTGATTTGTATAGTGAAAAATATCTTCAGAGAAGTAGGGAGTATTCCAACTCATTAAAAATAGGCTTGTCTAGTGATATATAATGTTCTTGATATGGCAAAATCATTTTATTGAGACAATTTCATTTTATAAATATTTGAGCTCCTTTACATTGCAGATATTTCTGAAGGGAAGCAAGCACATTAGTTGTAACTTTCGGATCCTATAAGGGTTTCAAAGTGATCATGAAATAAAAACATAAATAAAGGGGTTTTGTAAAGTATAGATTTCTGAGTACATTAATAAGTTATAAAAGCATGTCAAGTTGTTGAGAAATATAAAACATAAACAGTATGTACTTATGGTGTGCCCTGAATGACTTCCATCTGCCCAGCTGAATCAGTGAAATATCTCATGGCTGCCAAGTGTTAGTGCTCTTCCAATGCACAGCTGACATTGGAAAAAATTCTAACCACACAGAGTACTGTTTCACAGTTTGCATTTGTCAATAAGAGTGACAAAATAAATAAAATATTTGCATTTATTATTAAAGTATAAATGTGATAACTTTATTTCCAGAAATGCTTTTATAAATTATTAATGCAGTATATAAATGTCTGAAATGTAGGTATAGGTCAGAGAAGGATCAACCTCAGTTAGAAAACAAAGAAAATGTTGAAATTACTATTATGAGTCTTGGAAGAATATAATACAATTATGGGGATACAGTATGTTACTACCTCATGACCAGAATCTATTGTTAAGCTGACAACATACTTTCCAGACATTTTCTATGCATAGTCAGATATTTTTATGTAACTGGGATTATACTAGAGAAACACATTTTTATCATTGATACAGTATCTGTCAATAAATGTTTTTAGAACTATACATATTAAAAGATATATATTACAAGATTAGATTTTTTATTTTTATAACTAGATCATGTTATTCATGCATCATTATAAATTATAGCAAACATGCAGGAGTTTAAGTGTAAAAATATTTTCAATTAACTACACACATATATTTCCATTTTGTATGTGATTCATTGAAAAATTACACTATGTGTAAGTGAACCAACCATCACTATGTTTCTCTATTAGTATGGCATTCAGAGAACATGCTAAATTATCACATGCCTTTAATCAATATGTAATTCATAGATATTGTGATTCATATTTACTTTGTTTACATTTGTAGGCAAAATAAATAAATTTCCATACTAAAACTCAAGATTGGATAACATTCAATGATTTCAAATATTTGTCTTTATGTTTTCCAGAGTATATGCAATTAGCTTCCAGTTTGCTTGCAACTGATTTATTATTTCCTTCTCTAACCCTTTTTACATAAAATGCAAGAAAATATGGATTAGTCAGAATTCTAAGGGTGTCATTCAAATGAGAATTTTGATAAAAATATGCAAAATGCTAGTTATGTAAAATATGGATTTGAATCAGATTCTCAGAGTTAAAGCTGAGCCTTAAGGAAAAATACTATATGCTTGATTATTGACATTAGTGTTAAGGATTTCTTAAGTGGAAATACACACAAGGTATATGTGTAACACATGGTAACAATTCATGTTGTGGAATATAAATGAGATAGACAAACTATCTCGAGTTCAAGAAAAATGTATCTGAGATACTTATTCTTATTGATGCCATTATTTAGGCAGGAAGAAAGGTACCATTATAAAAAATCAGATTTCCAGGTAATAGATGGACAACAATTTATGGAAACTATCACAGATCTGAATAATTAGAAGGCATGCTTGAGGAGAAAAATAACAACAAGCTCATTGACTATGTATGAATAACTCAGTGTCATTGAATTCTACAATCTTTCAGTGATGTGTTGAAAACCCAAATGTTCTCTAACACAAAATAACCTCAACCAGAAAAAGTTACAATTCCTTGATTTCTTCTGGAGAAAAAGTGATCATCCGGATTATTGTTGTTCCAAGATTTCAGTTGTATTGAGTTCTCAGACTATGTAAGGGCTGCCTAAGTAAGCATCTATGAATAAAATGAATCAGATGTTCATTGTGGCAGCTTGTCCATGTTTAAAGGGGACAACTGTAGATTGCAATTAGGATTCTTATTTTTACTTTCCTAAATCTTAAATGTAGATGAACATACATCTCGAAACACTGCAAAAATCTAACAGCAGCTGCTTGTTAGCTA